ATTCCAATTCCTACTAATTCATCACGATTTAACTAATCTTGGAGAAAGGATGCCATCAAATCTGCATTCCTACAAAACAAACGTAGATTTAAAGATGATTATAATGAAACCATCTACACCATCTCTTTCCAAATTGATCTTTCTTTTTTAAAGAAAATCAAAGGAAGAAGAAATCATCTAAAGAAAACCACAGGAAATCCAGTTGTTTCAGAATAGAATCAATGCCTAAACAAGCAACAATTTCCGAGTCTCATCAGGCCGAAGTAGAGTTTACTTGTTTGGTGTTTGTGGTCAGTCGATGCTAAAACAAACAAAAAATATTGGGTGCTGACATTCGGTATATAGTAATTTTAAACTGATCGCCATGCTTTTCTATTGTTATCTTTTTCTAGTGTAAGTTTACTTGGCAAGTGCCTGAGTTATCCTTAAAAATAGATTATCTGTACTTAATCAAAACATTTCTACAGGATATGAATGAAAATATCTTTCTGTAAAGCCACAAAAGGCTTGTTTTTTGGGGATCATTTTTTAAAAGTGTTCACACACGTGTGAAATACGAAAGAGTAAATGTAATTTGTGAATTATCTACCATTATTAGTAAACGTGTTTGCAGGGATCGTGGACATTCAATTTCAAATGTTAAGTATTATGAACCTTATGGTATATTGACACAAAATCTCTATTGTGTGAAACAAGCAAAAATAAGTGTGTGAAAACCTTCATCTGTTATGGAGAATCAAGTTATATTACCTATCGTTTATTCAGGTAATTTAAATTTCAACACTTTTTAAATGGAATAATTGCTTTATTTAACGTTGCATCTAATAAAGCCATTATGGCCAGAATAAAAAAACTGAATTATAATTTGCTGTTTTAGACATCTAAAACAAACAATAGTACATATTTATATTAATATTTTTAACGGAGAATTTGAAGAAGGTGAAGAAATTTGTCTGTTCACGTTTCAAATAAAGTAGTGCAACTAATACAAAAAAGACGAGAAATCAACAATAAAAGATTCGTTTCGGACAACCGAAACCTACTGTATGACCGCATTTTCAAATGCTGAGTGTTCTTTCTCAACCCAGCTGAGTCAATGAAAAGAATCACGTGGGTGTATTTTTTTTTTCTTTTGTTAACTAATTTTTTTAAATTAATTTTTTACTACATTTGTATATTTTTCTAATTGTAATTAGGACTTTTAAAAGTGCACTGCATATGTTCACCAAGAACAGTTTTTCATTAGTTACTCAATAACAATATAAACGTTTTTTTTTATTTCGAAATTTTGACGAATACAAATTTAGCATCTCTAAACTGGAAGTTTTGTTGTTTGATCCCAATAAGAATTCCTCTCCTCAAGGGTGATCATTGCCGCTCTCCCTACACAAATCCTGCACCATTAGAATTGAACAAGAATGACACTACTTTCACGAGTGTTGTTGAGTAATAGATCAAATAACTAATTAGATAGTCATACTAGCAGTATAATATGCTGTTTTATGTTGAAACTCTAAACTTATACGTTTATTTCACAGCGTTTAACAGTGAGGAATAACAGCTATTATATGAATGTTAGTTAAGATAAATCATGAAGTTTTGCAGAATATAAACTTTACTTGAACTTTCTGTTTTTGTTAATATGATTTTTAAATTTATTAATCGCCAAATGAATCACATTAAAACTCATGCTTGAGGTAACTTAATCTATAACGAAGTACTGACATCAAGAAGGCATATTTGTTCAAGTTACAGTCGCTTGAGATTTGAAAGTGACATTCGGAAATAATAATCGCTTGAAATCTGTAAGTGACATTAGGAATTAATAGTCACTTTAATTGTGCGAGTGACATATCGGGAAGTTATAATTACTTAAGATAAGCAAGTGACATCAGGAAGCAACAGATGTTGAACTACGTATATTTTGTTTCTGTGTCTTCCACTGAATTAAAATACACTTAAGAACCATTGCAAATGTCGCTGGTTTGTAATATATTTCGGTATACATATACAGTATATGTGTGTGTATGTATAGTGATACTAAGTATATTGTGTCTAAAAGAGAACTGTTATTTCTATTAACCAGCTTGAAAAACAAACGAATACAGACTTTGTTCGAGGCATATCTAATCAAGTCTACATTATACACATGCTACTATAAAACTATCAATGAAACGTATATTTCACTTGTACAAACACAACAATCAACAAAATTTAAAATGGTAAGAAACGTCCAGTGATCACGAACTTTTTGATATTGTATTCGATGTATCGTTGGAGTTTAGTTTGACATTTGATAAAATTCATTAAATTACCAATGATGTCGGAGACTAACTTGTCCTTGTGGTTAGGACGTTTGGCTCGCAATCTGCTGGTATCGGGTTCGAAACCCGGCGCCGAACATTCTCGCCCTTTTAGCCGAGGAGGCGTTATAATGTTATGATCAATCCCACTGTTCGTTGAAAAAAAGAGTAGCTCAAGAGTTGATGGTGGGTGCTGCCTGGGGTTGCCTTCCCTCTGGTAGGCAATTCAAAATTAGGGATGGCGCCAGACATCCTTAGTAGATTTTAGAAGCAAAACAAATAAACGTATGATGACAAAAAATAATCAAAATTTGATACATGCTGTTTTCGTAAAATCATCGTTTTGAGAAATATGCTAATGTCATTCGTTCTTAGTGATTATCCAGGCATTAAGAAGATAATTACGCGAACAAAAAATTCAAGCATTCAGAATGATGTGTTTCAAGGCGGTCCGGTACAATATCTTACGTGCAACAGATCGGGAGGATGCAGTTAGGTCTCTAATTATGAAA